AACTCTTTTTAGACAATGCTAGGTCAATAGATATATCTTTATTCTATCAATAAACCATCCATTTAATAGCATAAACTTATGGTCTAGCATGTTTTTATCCAAGTTTAAAGATCGATTTAACTTTCTCAATCTTCAACCCGTCATACGAATCACTCCAAATGGTGACCAATCACAAGGAAACACTAAGCTCAAGATAAAAACAACATAACATTATCATTAACACTAAAGAGAGAGTTAAAACAAGTCTTAATCCATATAGTAGATCAAAATAACCCTAAAATGACTACTCTAACTACACATATTTAGCAAAGAGCCACAAATACAAAGGTATTTTGTAGCTATTATAGAAACAAAGGAGAAGAGAAGAGGAAAACCAAGAAAATCAAGAAAGAAGCTCCAAATCTCTTGCAACTTCAAGCCTAATACTTCCAAGCCTCAAAATCCCCAAACCCTAGTAGAGAACATCTCCAAATGGGTCCCTAAGTCAAAGTCTAGGCCGAAAATCATGAGTTCCCCCTTTTATATGCCCTAAATTTTAACTTACAATGCAAAATGCATGGTTGTGCAGGGATGGGTGTCACAGCGGATTGGCTCATCGGTTGGGCAAATTACACAGAGAAGAAACTCTTTAGAAGGGATTGGGCATTGCGACAAATTTATCCAAGCACTGTGGTGCCTATTATAGAATTCCTTTCCTTCCTTTTTGCTTCAGAGTCCACGGTGCATTGCTCCAAGCTCTGCAGCGGATTAAGTGTTTTTGGCCTTCTTCACTTGGTTCTTCAATTCTTGCTTGCTCTGTGTCCATGATCTTCCTCTAATTAACCAAAGTAGGTTTAGTATTTCTCCTTATCGTTCATCTTTCAGCTCTTGCTATTTCCTACACCAAGAATCTTAGAAGCATTGCACAAATGATCCCCAAATATTAGCACAAAACAAGTTTCATATTTTCAAATCATATTTTCCAGCTTTAAGGGAATAACCCTACATAATCAGTTTCCAAAACCCACAAAAGATTGTTAAAACAAGCCAAATTGGCAGGAATCTTGAGTGTTTATTAGAAGGTTTGAACAAAGGTAAGAGGGCAAGTTTCGTTGCCACTGGCAGCAAGGCCGACACCACTGCCTTGTCTCGAGAGTGCTGAGAGGATGTGGTATGGGCCACCATTTCTGATGGGGTTGCCTTCAATGTCAACCAAAACATCAGCTTTAACTAATGTGAAGGCAAAGAGAAGGAAGAGGGCAGTCAAATTAGTCTTCATTGCTTGAGATTATTTGGGTTTGACCAAAGAAGGTTTTTTATTTGTGTGTTTGTTTGATGGACTGGTGTGGAAACGAGAGGATGAAGATTCTATTTATAGACACACTCATGCTTGGCAGGGTAGTTTTGGTATTCTATTATAAATGCAAATGATATAGCAAAACTTTGTCGTCGCGTTAGAACTTTGAGCGTTGGATTGAAAAAATAATGCGATTTTTTTAAAGGAAGGTAAAATAATAGGATCCTTGCAAACTTTTAATTAGGTTCGTACAATGATGTGAAAAATTTGTGGACTAGAGGTCTTTTGTGTGCCCCATATTCGTTTGAGGTTTAAATCAAGAATGCTTAACAGAATTTCTCTCCCGGCCTGACGGCCCGTCATAAACGTAAAACTCAGTTAAACACTTTGATTTTAGATATAAGATTTTAATTTATTTTGTTTTCTAAATTTATATATTTTTTAAAATTATTTATCAACAAGTGCTAATATAAATAATTAAAAAAATATTTTAACAAAACTAATACACATGTTAACAAAATAACTTAATTTAATTAATTTTTTTAATCTTTACAATACGAGGTTGTTATCTTTACTAAAACCAAAAGATATAAGAAATTTTTAGAATAACAAGGTCACGGTATGAAATTGTGCAATTATAAATAGATTGCTTTAAATCAAGGTAGTGAAAACTAAACTGGTAAATGAACTAATTAAGAAAATGGTTTAAGGTTTAGTGGCTTGAGTCGGGTTATCTCAGAATCAGGCCAGTTACTTAAAATAATATAATCTAGTTAAAATATATAAAAATATTTGCACAAATAATTTTGAAAAGAGTAACATAGAGTTATTATTCATCATCCAACAAAATAATGGGTTATTAAAATACAAGTATGATGAATTGCTATTTTTTAAAAAAATTTATAATAATGTCATTTTAAGCTCAATAATATATATATATATAATTCAATCTGATAAGCTATTTTAAAACTTTTAACCGGATCAGAGAACCGGGTTCACTCGTCTAACTCGCCATTTCATATAATTCTCTAAATCTGATCAGAAAATTTCTTTGAAAAAGGATTTGAAGGTACCCTTGTCGCCCCAGCCGTGCGGCTGCGCTTAATGTGATGCAAAGGACGGCACGGAGTGAAAAAGATATATCACCCAGCTCCACAAACTTACCCATCAATACGACCCATGGACCCCCATTTTGGGATGGTAATTATCCGAATCTCATATTCATAATCATTGATTAAATTAACATAGCCTTTTCATCACACACTTTCTTATCCCTAATATAAGTCATTTCAAATTGAAAGAGATTGTGAAAAATGGAGAAAAATACATAAAGTTATATTCAAACACTAATTGCAGGGATAAAATTAACAAATAAGCATTAATTACTTTTCAAGTGACTTATCTTCTAGAAAAGACTTATATTATGGACCGCAAGTTATAAACTAACACATTCATCACCATTTTGAGTTGTATCTCTGGGCTTCATTGTAGTTCATAATTTATAAAACTCCGACTCCACTATTAGCTCTGGTCCTTAATATAAAATCTAGTTGAGTACATTAAGAAAATTAGTTAGGTTAGTTATTTAAAATAAATATGTGTTGTCTTTTCTAAAATACCCTTATTAATCTTGTGTATGAGTTAGAATTACTATTTGATAAAACTTTAACATGTGTAACTACTATAAAGACTACCTTAAAAAAAATAGATAAATATAAAGGAGAAAGCGAATTTAGGTCTTATATTTTGAACTAAATTAAATGTCAAATTAACTCTTATATTAAAGACCATAAAAGGTGGTAGTATATGTGATTTGGTGTTACGAAAACGAGAGGATAAATTGTTGCATTGGATGCTCATAAATTTATTTGAACATGTGCATTTGAATTTTTGTCATTTATTTATTATTATCTTTCAATGATAATAACCTTGTCGCCACAGCTGTGCGGTTGTCATCAAGTAAAAGGACCCAGCCTACTCAAGTTGGATAACTAATTTATAAACATTGAAGAAAAACACTGAAGAAATTAATTAATAATTAAGTTAATAATCTATAAAAATATGTGTTGACTTTTTAAAGTATCCTCCCTAATTATTTGCACTGAAAATAATCCTATCAATTGGAAAGTCCTTTAATATGTATAATTGATAGAGATAACTTAAAAGAAAAATTACATAAAATAAATTCTTCAGTTGTCTCTTTAAAATGGAAACGACTTATTAAATCCGATCCCCACAAAAATATTGTTGACGAAATCAGATTATTAGCATGTGGCTAGCCATAAGGCTAGTCCAATAACCCATGGCGGTCCCCTTTTAGGACATGAACAATGAGATCCTGTGCTATATTGTGAGCTTTAAGCTCTTTCTTCTTAGGTTCAAAAGCCATTATTAATCCTAAGCTATCAATGTATTATCTTCGTCATTTAGACTGCTTTGAGCTTTAATATAATGTACTCATCCAACTCCTAGAGAGAGTACTCTTGAGTGAAGGGTGAGGTGTATCTTGGATAAATAGATCATAAAAAGTAATTAATTAGGTATTTCTCTGAGAGAAGTTATCGTAAATATTGTAGTGGTTTACAATTACGTACACTGTTTAAACATGTGGATTATACTTCTCCAATCCTTAATATAAGACATAATTGTTGAGTTAATTTTAGTTTTAAATATAAGACTTATTTTGTATATTTATCAATTTTTTCTAAATTACCCTTATGGATACTCCCTCAACCATAATCAAGTAGAAGAAAGAGAGAAGATATTAAAGAAGATGATTATAGTGTTTTAGGAAAAAATGTCATATTCTTATAATTAGCTAACTTACCTAACTTTTTTAATATAATCAAATTAGTTAAATATGTCTTATATTAAGGATCAGAAGAGTAATAAAGAAATCTCAAATGGTTTTTACTTGAGAACTCAATGTAGGTTCAAAGGTGCAACTAAAGCAAGATAAACTCATTGCTTGCAATCTAATTCGTTACGATATTTCCATCTCCATCTGGATGACCCCCCCCCCCAAAAATTAGGGTATATGTGACCTTTTTTTCAGTTATATGTAGTGCTAGATTGCTGACTTGTACAATATATATACAGTTATCTAGTCCTTTTTATAATATCTTATTGACAAATTTCATGAGATCAATGAAGCTTGTTTAAAATGATTAAATGTAACGAATTCTTACGACTTTCCAAATTTAAACAACCCTTCAATTTTGTATAGTTAATATGGCGTTGAGATATGGAGAGAATGGAAAAGATAAGGGTAAATAAGCAAGGATATTTTTGAAAATGTATCATAAATACTTCATCAATTAAATTTCCTGAAGAGTTTTATTAAGAACCAATCAATAGGATCTTGTATGGATAGAACGAGAAGGAATATATATATATATATATATATATAAATATATTCACATGTGTCAATAACAGTAAGAAGGTAGGAGAAAATAAAGTTATAGGATACCTTAAATGTAACGTATACTATTTCCGGTCTTAATATAAAACCTAACTAACTAATTTGAAGAGATTAAAAAAATTATTAAATTACTTAATTATAGCATATATTACATAATTTTTCTAAAATACATAGCGACTTTAGAGAAAAATTATAAATAAAAATACTTTATGATAATTTATTAACTTTTTTAATCTCTTTAAATAAGTCAATCGGGTCTTATACTAAACACCGAAAGTTGTATGAAATAGAGAGAAGAGAGAGAAGAGGAAGCACTTGGAACATGATTTTATTTATGTTAGGCTTCAGATACAGATGGAGAAAAGGAAAGCACATGAAGCATTATTATTTTATTTTACTTGCAATGCGCAGTGGCTTCATCAGCATTTCGATAGTATAGTACGCTCTTCATTCAGCAGATGATTCAGCCTTGCCAAACACAACGATGAAAGGGTCATCATCGTTAATAACAAAAATCTTGTGTCCTTTATCGTCCTTGGAAATCCCAAGAGCACTGCAAGAATCTTCATCAGTGGAACAGAACACAATCCTGTAGGTCAAACCACGATATGTCTGGATTCTAAACGAACCACGCAGGGTATCCTCGTAACCAGCAAGTTTCACTTGCTTTATCTCATCGTCTCCGCCGACAATCGTCCATTTTGCCGGTTGGGCTGCGCACTTTGGTGGTGCTACGACGGTGAACTCCAAATTAAAGTCTGTGCGGAGATAAGCGATTCTGTGAGGAGAAGAAAGTCTGGTGGGCAAACCATTGGACAGTTCGTTGATGGTTTGAACAACGGTAAGAGGGCAAGTTTCGTTGCCGGTGGCGGCAAGGCTGACGCCACCGCCGAGTCCCCGGAGGGCTGGGAGGATGTAATATGAGCCACCATTTCTGATGGGGCTGTCTTCAGTGTCAACCAAAGGACCAGCTTTGGCTGATATGAAAGCAAAGAGTAGGAAGAAGAGGGCAAGCAAGTTAACCTTCATTGCTTGAGATAATTTGCCTGTAAGCAGAGAAGGTTTGTTATTTCTGTGTTTTCTTTGTTTTTTTTTTTTTTTTTGATGGAGTGCTGTGGAAACGAGAGGAGGAAGGTTTTATTTATGGGGACTCTCGATACTTGAAAGGGGCAGTTTAGGTATTTCGTTATGAATGCAAAAGAGAGAGCAAAACTTTGTCGCCGCCTGAGAATTTTATGCATTGGATAAAAAATATTCTTCTGATAATTTGACATTTAGTTTAGTCCTAAATATAACACTCTAATTTATTTTTTTTATACTTATCTAATTTTTTTAAGATAGTTCTTTTTGTAGTTGCACATGTTAAATGTTTTATTAAAAAATACTTTTAGCCAATATGCATGATTATTAAAGGTATTTTAGGAAAGATAATATTTATTTATTACAAACAACTAAATTAACTAATTTTTTTAACTTATTCAAATTAGTGACCATAGATGATAAAATGATTTTATTAAGAAATGTGAAAAATTCGTGGTTACGGGCGAGGTTGTTTATGGACCCTATGTTTGTTTGCGGTATAAATCAAGCATCCTTTGCAAACCTACTTCCTTGTATTGTAAGTACAAAAAGTAGTTAAGAGGTTTAATTTAATTTTAAATATGACATCTCAATCCATTTTATTTTTTGAATATATAAAATTTATCTTAAGATATACATATTGATTACACATATTAAGGGTTCTTAATCAAAGGATAATTCTAATGTAAATAATTAAGAATGATATTTTAAAAACATATGCCTAACTTAACTAATTTTTTTATTAGTTAAAAATTATTAGTAATCTAGCTCCCATGTTAAGCACTAGATAGAGTATATTTAATATTGGATATTAATATGAAAGAATCTAAAGAATGAAAAGCTGGAAAAGCAAAATTAAAAACGCATCCAAATTAAATTTTCATTTTGCATTTATCTTCCTCTAGCTTAGTTTTCATTGTGCTTTTAGCACTCTGTTAAACATCATTTTCTTTAATGTTTCAATCATGTTTTTATGCATATATTGCTAATCATTCCAAAATCTCATCTCTTCCAAGCCTTGAACTTCTAAGTTCGTCCCAAATTTTATTTTACTCCTCACATGTGGGAAAATTGCAACACCATAAGACCCCTGGCACTTTCATTCATCGATTAGAAAGTTAGACATTAGTTAATTCCAATGTCCGGTTCTTATCTTTTTTTTGGGGGGGGGGCACAAAAGTCATAAGAAATTTTTAGAATAAAACAAGGTCTTGGTAAGAAATTGTGCAACTATAAACAAATTACTCTAAATCAAGTACTTAAAATTAGACCGTTCATTTCTGGTTAAGACAATAATTTCAGGGTCAGTCTTTCAAATCGGGATTAACTAGAGTCAGACCAATCATTTAGGATATTATAACTTAATTAAAATATACAAAAATATTTATATATAACTTTGAAAAGAGTAATAAAGTATTAATTTGTGAGTAAATAGAATATTCAAGTATAAAGGACACATATTTTGACCACAAAAAAAAAAAAGGACACATGACACTCGTTTGGAATAACTTATGAGTAGCTTTTTAATCGTAATTTATAAAATTTGAGATAAATATATGAGAAGAGTTTTATCTCGACTTACGTGAAATATGCTTATAAGTGATTTCAATTGTAATAGCAAACAAAGTCATATTCTAATGGAAAAGAGTTAATAAAATACGATGGATTGCTACTATTTTCTTTTGTAAAAACTTAAAATAATGTCATTTTAAACTCTATCTGCTGGGAAATATATATACACACACGCACATACATATATGTGTGTCTATATATAATTCAACCGGGTCAATCTCTCTAAAAATTTTAACCGAACCAATTAAAAAACTGATTCACAGGTCTATTAGTTTCACTAACCAAACAGGATTAAATTTTTAAGTCTGCTCACAAAAAAGTCATTTAAAAAGGATCGGTGATCATTAAAGTCTTCAATATTGATTTTTTTAGAATAAATGTGTAATTTTAATTCTAATCTTATTTCTTAGATACAACTCTATCTCTGATTTTTTTGAATAATTTTACCTCTAATTTTTATATACAATTTTGCTTCTGTCTCCTTATCTAGCCCTACTCAACTATGATGTGGAGGTACGAAAGCGAGAGTGAAATGTTGTATTTGACGCTCTTAATTTATTTGAACACGTGTATTTGAATTTTTGTCATTTATACGTAATTATCTTTCAATGAAAATTGAAAACCTTGTCGCCACAACTGCGTGGTTGTCATAGAGGAAAAAGACCGAGCCACGTCAATGAAAAAGATTCGCTCATTATTATTCTAAATGTAAGAATTAAACAACTAATTTATAAAAATTAAAAATTATTTAAATTAATAATTTATAAGAATACGTATTGATTTTTTGAAGTATCCTTTCCAATAATTTTCATTAAAAACCATCGCATCGAGGAAACCTCCTTTAAAATGTGTAATTACTAAGGATAATTTGAAAAAAAAAATTACAAGTTAAAGAGATAAGAACACTAGTCTTATTTCTTAGGTACAATTCCACCTCTGATTTTTTGAAAAATAATTTTACCTCTAATTTTTAGAAACAATTTTACTTCTGTCACCTTATCTAGTCCTACTCACCTATGACGTGGAGGTACGAAAGCGAGAGTGAAATGTTGTAGGTGACGCTCATTTATTCGAACACGTGTATTTGAATTTTTGTCATTTATACATAATTATCTTTCAATGAAAATTGAAAGCCTTGTCGCCACAGCCGCGTGGTTGTCATAAAGGAAAACGACCGAGCCACGTCAATGAAAAAGATTCGCTCATCATTATTTTAAATATAAAAATTAAATAACTAATTTATAAAAATTTAAAAATTATTTAAATTAATAATTTATAAGAATATGTATTGATTTTTTGAAGTATCCTTTCCAATAATTTTCATTAAAAACCATTGCATTGAGGAAACCTCCTTTAAAATTTGTAATTACTAAGGATAATTTGGAAAAAAAAGTTACAAGAGATAAAAATTTTTAATAAGTAAAATAGAATAAACTCTTGTATTCAGAAAATAGATTAAAGTCTTGTATTCAGAAATAGAATAAACTCTTTAATTAGTTTTCATATTTAATAAGTAAAATTACTATGAGTTCAAAAGAAAGTGATTTAATTACAAAATCTTAATGACATGATCAACATAAATTTGTTATCGTTTCTTGAGCTGAAACTTATCATTGCATGTTGATCAATTGTTATCGAATTTATGGGTGATTAAATTTTTGTTAACCCTATAGTAATTTCTCCTTTTTAATATTGGAGGGAGTATCAACAGAGATCATGCTATTATTGTTTGGGAGATTTTCAATTAAGGACCTACGTAGCAACATAATTTTCATTTAGGACAAAACAATTTTGAAACTTCACTGCATTTTTTTGAGGGCAAGATGAAATTAAATTAAGAAGCAAAATGTCCAGGTTACCCTTAATGTTTGAAAAAAAAAACAGGGCCTGATAGGGTTTTACTCTCACAATAGAAACTAAATTTCCTCTACCGCATAAACATTGGTTCGCATTCTCTGTGCTCTGTTCTTTTAGCATTCTCAATTCGTATTTTCTCATCTCTAATGATTGGTGTAGTCATATTTGTTAGCGTTCTCTCATGTTCAATGATAGGCTTTGCCCGTTGTCAGTACTGAGAACCTTTGTTGTCTCCATTGCTCTAGCATGGAGAGCCTTTGTTGTCGCCCTTGCAAGTCTTGAACGAGAGGCTTCACCGTCACCATGGTGTCTCTCTTTGTGTATGTGATCTCTTTCATTGCCTTTAAATTTGAAAATCTCTCCATACATCACTGCAAAATCCTTCTCCATTTGTTGTATTGTAGATTTTATGGGTGTGCGTGGTTGAGGCTGTTGTAGAGTTCTGAACAACTTAGGAATTTTTTTAATACTTTGATTTGAGTAAAAATTATTCAATGGATTGAGTTCAAATTCATATTGTTGAGTGTTGAGAGTGAGTTGCTTCTTTTCTGCATTTTCAATTCCTATCATGAGTTATGTTTGGGCTGTAGAGCTTGTGACCAAATGGTAATTGTTAATTAATTATATAATTTTGAAGTTTGTTTCATTTGTCATCTAATTTTTTTTGCTTGCCAAACTGATCATTATTCATTCATAGCATAAGCATTCTGCTCAGTTTATCTGTACTCACAAACCAATGTCCGCTCTTCATACTGCAAGTTTGTTTATTTATTTATAGTTGTGCATTGTAACTAATTTTTTTAACGCCACAAAAATCCATATGCATGGTAAGTTGAGGTTCTAAAAGAGAAGAATTCTTCTTGTTTTGATTTGTTGGAATTTGATGGATGGAATAACTTATTGCTTTTTCTTTTCCAAATATGTAAAACTTTTGGAAATAATGCTGGTATTAGAAACCATAACGATACATAAATTCACAACAGGAATACGTTCATTTGCAAATTGGTTAATTCAATTGAAAAAGTTCATATAACGTATGAAATTTGCGAATTTGCAATAAAGATACATAAATTAACAACATAAATGTATCCATGACAAGTGAGCTAATTTAATTGAAAAATTTCTTAATAATTTACAAGTGTGGGAGGAATTGTTCACAACTAAAACTTGAGAATTTACAACAAGAATACATAAATTAACAACAAAAATAAGTTCATTTGCAAATGAGTTAATTTAATTGGAAAAGTTCTTGATAATTTACAATGTTGGAGGAATTATTTACAGCTGGAACTTGAGAATTTGCAACAAGAATATATAAATTAACAACATAAATACGTCCATTTTCAAGTGAGTTAATTTAATTGGAAAAGTTCTTAATAATTTTCAAGTGTGAGAGGAATTATTCACAATTGAAACTTGCAAATTTGCAACAAGAATGCATAAATTAACAATAAAAATATGTCCATTTGCAAGTGGGTTAGTTTAATTGGAAAAGTAATTGTCTAGGAGGGAATATTCACAATTGAAATTTGCATATTTGCAATGAGGATATGTAAATTAATAACAAAAATACGTCAATTTACAAGTGGGTTAATTTAA